CCCGACCCATTTTGCGCGGACGGGGTCGTGGGTGGCACGTGTAGACGGGCTGCCCGAGACCACCGCCGGTCGTCCTGACTCTCCTTTGCCACTGGGCTCAGAAGGACGAGGGAGAAGACAGAGTGAGATAGATGTTGAGAAAGTCCGTTATCAATATAAATTAATTCCTGAGAAAGTCAGATCCTTGAGAACACCACGCTGAGATACACATGGTGGGCATCATCGTTTACGACACCCTAACTGACTCCCGAATGCCTGGTTGCTTTATATAGAAAAATAACGCTTTCGAATCGGCATTAAATCCCTCTTTCTGCTGCCGCGTCTTTGATCTGAAAGGCCAGAAACACTCCCTCTACATGTACCACACGCACGCACGGCAACACTTAGGAACTCACGCAAACTTGGTGGGACTGACTTATATGGCCGCCTTAACAGGACGTCGGAAGAGGAACGCCCTGCCCATGTAATAAAGCTGGACCCGCTCATAATTCTGGAAAGATAAAAATATTCCAGTGTCCAAACCCCAACGATAGCCGTAGTACAAAGTTAAACCGCTGCCCTAGTTTTAACCCCAACCCTACCACAAACCTCATACTTACCTTAACCCTAAATCTGATCCTGACATACCTTACCGTTAACTTTATACCTAATCTTTAATCTAACCCTAATTTAACTGGAAGTCGGTTCAAAGCCACCCGAATTGCAAACGGTTCCTGTTCCCATGCCATCTTTAGGGGGCCATATAAGTCAGTCCTACCCCAAATTTTCTCGCGAAACGGTACCCTATAGGTTGAACTGGCTTGTAGCCATGACATCCTGCCTGAGATAACCCTCTAGACCATTGGTAGTAAGGGGGCTCTTAGGCCGCGTCTTGTCCCAACCGCAGCATCTTCCCACGCAGCGGTGACAATTACAACCTAGTTCTTCTTGTTGTAAAACCCGGCCAATCGTGCGAGGAGGAGGTCGTGAGTGGCACGCGTAGACGAACTGTTCAACACTGTCATCCACTGCGCCCGAGGCCGCCGCCGGTCGTTCTAAACCTCTCTTGTCGCCGGAATCAGAAGAATGGGGAAGTGAGATAGGTGCTGAGAAAGTCTACTATCATCGTAAATTGATCCACGAGGAAGTCAGCTCCCTGCAACCACCACGCTGAGGTACACATGGTGGGCATCGTCGCTTGCGAAGCCAGAAATGACAATCTTTCCTAATTAGCTTTAGCATTTAATCCCTATTTCCGCTACCCCGTAATTCATTTGAAAGGCCAGAAAGACTCCCCCTACACTTACCGCAAACTTACCGCGGTGCGACCAACGCATACGGCGGACCTATTTTCAGCTCACTGAAACCAGTGGCCTAGAACAAAGGAAGTGTTAACAGGAAAAACTGCTGGCCACAGGATTTGAAGTGGCATCCAGCTGGCACTCAGCAGTTTCTAGTGATAGTGAACCCGCGCTACAGCTTTCGCACTCGCTCCGCCTCACGCACCTGACTTCGGTGTCAGGACAATGCGAAGACAACAGGACGCAGGATAGGACACAGTGGCCACAAAAGCTAAACGGCTACTCTACGCGCGCCTTACGCGGCCTGGTTGCCAATACATGCGCCGGACATCCAAATGGGTGTCATGGACCTCGCTTACACGAGAGTCCAGAAGAGAACCAAATTATCTTTTCAGGTGGGAAACTTGCGGGTCACAACTCCCAGCGCGTTACTGTACCGAGGTGTACACTGGACTCCCAAACTGTAAAGCTCCATTGATGCAATCAACAGCGATGAACTTCAAAACATCACACTGAGATTCGGATGTCCTCCGACAGAGTTTATAAAAATGGCAAAACAACCGCGCAACAGGAAGAGAGCAGGCATTGCGGACAGCGCGGTCGTTCCTGGGTCATTCGTAAGGAGTCGGGGTAGTGTGCTCACGTTCATACTATCCAGTCTCATGCTTTCAGTAATGCTGATGGAGCCCAACCGTGAAGAGTGTTCGGAGACTAACATCCACCACAGAACGGATAGAAACATCCTCAGCGCCCGACACGTGCGAGCATCTTCGAGAGGACTCAAGGCCAACCTCCATGACCTATTGTTCACGAAAAACTTCGAGTTAAACAATACAGCAGAAAATATTTTACCGACAGAACTAACTTCCTTTATCTCCGAATGAGGACAACGCCCAGGCAGTGGAGATGGTGCCGTCTCTAACGCACCCTCCCCCACTTATGAGAGCATACGAAAAAGCAACTTGGCTAATTCCGCCAGTTTGAGCGTGAATTCAGCCAGTAGCTGTTGTCAGTTGTTTGCAAAAGTGGACGTTCTGCTTGTTTCCAACTGCCTAACATTGCGTTGAGGCTTGGAAAGTCGACTGGTATGCGGGTGGGAGATGAGCGAGCGTGTTTGGCACTGGGGACTCCATCATGACGGCAAAAAGATGCATTCCACAGTACAGTAGGTGGGCTAACTCATGAAATGTCAACCGAAATCCTGAAATGCGTTTTCGTTTCGAAAAGATTAATTGAGTAGGGCTGTAACATTAGTCAGCCTGCAACATAAATATATTATATTTCAGTTACGCCAGGATGCCGGCTTTCGAACGAACTTCTTGCCGGCTGCATGCAAAAACCACATTCTGCAAAAAATAACTACCTAGGTAGCATGTATTTTTCCCATTGAATTTCGATGCCCTTAAAAATGCAATTATAGTTCATGGAGAACAAATATGAGGATATTCATTCTTCTGTTTATTCGGTAGAAAATTACGTCTTCTTCCAATTTTATTCTCGAAGAAACGGTATAATTCGGTCTTAAAAAAACTTTTCTAATTCCCCAAGAATTTTGAGCCCCGACCTGCCGTTACACTTGCATTGAGGGTTTCGAAACTACTTGCCGTATATTTTTAACGTACGAAAAACCATACATTTCTCTAAGGCATTAAGAGGAGACCATAGGGGGTTCATAAAATGTAGCAGTGGATTTGAGCCACGTTGTTAACTTTACGAGCCACACTGGTAAATGCAGAGACATGAGGTTTTATGAACGGCCATGCCAGAGTATTAAGAAAACTCACAATTGTAAGCTTTTTTAACACCGTATTATACCCTTCCTTCGAGTATAAAATTGGACGAAGACGTAATTTTCTACCGAGTGAGCAAAAGAATGAGCATTTTTATGCATGTTTTCTATGAAATATAATTGAATTGTTAAGGGCATCGAAGATCAATGAGAAAAGTGCATGCTGCATAAGTGCTCACTTTTTACAGAGTATAGTTTCTGCATGCAGCCGTAAAGAAGTTCATTCTATGGCCGACATCCGCAGGTCACTGAGTTATTACAGAATTATGCTCTGTGATGATTAGTTTAACAACCCTACTTAATCAATCTTTTCGAAACGAAAATGCATTTCGAAATTTCAGGTGACATTTCATGTGTTAGCTCACTTACTGCATAATCAATCTGACACGTTGAAGTCTATCAGGACTCGCTAAGGGCCGTGATTTGGGACTTTGTTAGCTGAGGGGATAATTTAATCCGTCATGCTACCATGACTCCTCCTCAATGTGCCCTCAATGCTACTCACACATGTGAGATCCGCACTGGCCTCGTAAACGCTTGGCACATGCGGTGGGGACTAGAGCGTTTGTGTGTGGCACGTGTAGATTAACTGAAAATCCTTTTTGACTACTTCACCCGAGCTCACCTTCGGCTGTTCTGACATTGTTTTGCCACCGGATCAACGTGGGTTGGGGGGGGGGAGAGTGTCCTATATGTCGTGCAGATCTGTCTCACGATGCTTCTGTGAATCTGAAAGAAGGTGCAAAACCATCTAAATGCTCTTTCTGCCGCTAACTGCAGCACAAGTGGGGACCATCCTCCATATCATCGCGGATCAGGCAAACGAGTAGATCGCCATGGACTGTGGAAAATAACGCTGAGATTCGAATGTTCGAAGCCGTTTGCACAGATGATACGAAACATACACGACGGAATGGTAGCTCACGTCGCGGATAAATGGGACAGTCTACGAAGCATTAACGCCGACCAGTCTCATATGCCCCTCGGGGGGGGGGGTGGCACCGGTGGTTGGAAGTGACCACCGAATCAAAGGAAAACTCTCCAACGTCCGGCGCATTCAAGCACAATCTAGAGCATCGAGGACCTACTGTTCGCTGACGGCTGTGCGTTAGACGCCACAACAGAAGGAGACGTGTGGCGGAGTGTGGACGTCTTCGCCATCGGTTGCCCCAACTTTGGCCTGGCCATCAGCACGGAGAAGATGGTGGCTATGCACCAAACGGTGCCAAATGTTGACTACACCGGACCCTCCTATCAATGTTAGCAGGGCTGCCCTCACATCAGAGGACGCATTCACGTACCCGCGGAGTGCGATTTCAAGAAACACCAAGATCAACAACTTACTCGCAAGTCCAATCTCCAAAGTTATCCTGGTAATTGGCCAACCGCAGCATTCCGTCTGTAACCGCGGCGGGAATGTACAAAGGACTCTTGTCCTGACCACGGTCTTATGCGGGGCGGAGCCGCGGAGTGTTTATGAAGGTCAAGCAGAGAGACTCAGCCTTTTTTACATCATCTGCCTTCGACGACTGCCGAAGGCGAGGTGGCAGGAAGAAATCCCTGACGCCGGGATCCTGGAAACAACTGGAAGCCGCAGTAACCATGATGGATCGGTCATGTCGTGCGGATGAACGACGAATGCCTGTTCGAACGGCTATTCTGTGGTGACAGCGCTGTAGATGCTTGCAGATAAGATGAGCAAAAGTGTCAAACAAAAGAGAAGCTTGAGGGCTTCCCTCAAGCACCATTGAATTTACCTTCAGGTATGTAGGCACCTCGCTAAAGATGAGCAGGTCTGGCGCACTGCCGTAAAGATTGGGGCGGTCATTGTTGAAGCCGATCGAATGGTCGTTTCCAAGGCAGCCGAGGTAGCTCGCAAGACTCAAGTGTTGGGGATTAAGAACATGAACGCAAAACCTTTGCTAGCGTGTCTACGCTGTTGGCGGACATTCGGGGCACAGGCCGGCCTTGTTTGATATTTTTGGACCCGTTGCAACTTCAACACGGCAGACCGGGATCCAATCTCCCAGGAAGCCTTCATCGCCGCCGCCGCCGCCGCCGCCGCCGCCGCCGCCGCCGGCGAAGACACACCTACAGTAGATATGGTAACTCATGAAATGTCAACCAAAATTTCGAAACGCGTCCTCGTTTCGAAAAGATAAATTAAGTAGTGTTGTAAAGCTAATCAAGATACAGCATAAATCTATAATGATCCAGTTACCTGCGGGTGTCGGCTTTCGAAAGAACCTATTTTCGGCTGCATGCAAGATCTATACTCTGCAAAAAACGACTACTTAAGTAGTATGCAAATTTATCATTGATTTTCGATGTCCCTGAAAATTCCATTATATTTCATGGAAAACATGCATAAAATATTCATGCTTTTACTTATTCGGTAGAAAATCACGTCTTCTTCAAATTTCATACTCAAAGGAAGAGTACAATTCGGTTTTTAAAGAGTTTCTAATTTTGAGATTTTTAATACCGTTAAATGGCCGTTCATGAAACGTCATGTATCTGCATTTACGAATGTGGCTTGTAAAGTTAACAATATTGCTCAAATCGACTGCTTAATTTTATGAACCTCATATGGTCTCCTCTTAACACCGTAGAGAAATGCATGGTTTTCCGTACACGGAAAAAAATACAGCTTGTAGTTTTGAAACCCTGAATGCAAGTGCAACAGCAGGTCGGGTTCAAAATTATTCGGGAATTAGAAAAGTTTTTTAAAACCAAATTATACTCTGCTTTTGAGTATAAAATTGAAAGAAGACGTGATTTTCTACCGAATAAGTAAAAGAATGAATATTTTTATGCATGTTTTCCATGAAATATAATTGAATTTTCAAGGGCATCGAAAATCAATGAGAAAATTGCATATTACATATGAAGTCATTTTTTGCAGAGTATAGATCTTGCATGCAGCCGAAAATAGGTTCTTTCGAAAGCCGACACCCTGAGGTAACTGGATCATTATAGATTTATGCTGCATCATGATCAGTTTCACAACACTACTTAATTTATCTTTTCGAAACGAGAACGCATTTCGACATCTTGGTTGAAATTTCATGAGTTAGCACATCTACTGCACTATCCTGAAAAACACCATCACAGTCACCTTTTGCGCCAGCAATGCGGGCTAAATCGCAACCTGTCCTCATTGCGATCGCGCCCTTGTGACCCGCAACGGCTTCGTGGATCACTTGCGAATCCATCATACTGCGACCGACGAACCAGTGCCTCGAGCCTCGACACACATACACATGTGCCAGAAAATTCAGACGTCGTGTATGTTTCTGCGAAAATCGTCGGTAAAATACCAGAGTCCAGATCCCATCGTCCTACCAGACATGCAAATATAGCTCCCCCCCGCCCCCCCCCCCAACTAACACAATGCTCCTCCCCAAGAGCAGTCACACAGCCCACCTTTCTACCGTCTGTCCGACGGACGCAAATACAAGCAGTCGAACAAACGTTCCCGTCACTAAGCCCTCCCATAAGTTGCCAGGGTTGACTTTGCTCATTCTGTAATGTTCATTCTCTGTCAGACAATCGGCCAGAAGGGAGGAGAGCTCTGGTCGTCCAAGAACTGGCGTTCCCCGTGAAATCGACTTCTCTTAACAGGTACAACTGTGGGGTGGGTACTGGATACAACTTTTGGAGCACAATTCCAAAGACAGAATGACTCTCTATCTCTCTCTCACAAGCAACAGTTCGAACGTCGACTTCGACAACGCCCCCTCTGTGCTCTGCAGGTGGGTGAAAGCAGTGACAGTGACTTGCGCAACGCCTATCGCACTCTCTACTCCTGCTCCCCCAACCTGAGCCCGGTGTCAAGATATCGTCAAGAAGATCGGAGGCGAGAGAGGCCGTAGGTCGCTGGGACGGCGAAAACATGTCCTTGGGCGTACCACCACACTCTGGTCCACAACGGACACTGATCACGATTTCATCCAAACATAATAAGGGGCAGCACGGATGCTAATTGGCGCGGAGTGAGCCGACGACTGGGCGTGCCCCCGCACCCAATATAGGCATTTGTTATGCGTGGGCATTTCCGATAACATGTGCCGTCTGCCTATCTGTCTGTCTCTCTCTCACTAAACCACACACATACACACACAGTTCGGCCGTCGCATCCGACGAGGTCTACCGTGTGCTCCACAACAAGGTCAAGCAGGCACGAGGACTTGCGCGTAATTCAGTTTATAGTGAGCGTAGACTTGCGCAGCATCTACTTCACGCTCCCCTCCCCCACCGGAGCCCGGCGTCAAGACAGAGTCAAGAAGACCGGAAGCAGAGGTGGATGCAGATGGATGGCGCGGCCGAGCCCGTACCTTGGCGCTCAAATTCCACCCCTTGGCCCAAGCAACAATTTGCCAGGATTTTAACCAACAACAACAACAACAGCAGCAGCAGCAGCAGCAGCAGCAACAACAACAACAGCATCAACACCACGACGGATCAGAAGGAGAAGAATGAATGGGTAGCCAAGCCCACGGCCTTTATACCATGCGGGAGCGCAAACGCATCCATCGGCAGGGAACCAGGTGTCAGAGAACCGCCAGCGCTTACCGGGCTGCGAAGGCCATGGTTTGCTGATCCTGGCATGGCAGACGCTTACAGACGTTTAGGCCCATATACATCGGTGGGCGCCCCTATCTACCACTATATATATATATATATATTTGCATATATATGTTGAAGTCAAAGGTGTTCTTTGGGAAAAAGGAATTTTATTGCGTAACACAATTACTCTCAGTCTGCGTCTGAAGGCGACGTGGGGGACCGGCGCCGAACATTTACGCTATAAAGTTTCTTTTTCCCAAAGAACGATTTTGAATTAAACTAAGATTTCTTGGGATGCCTACCTTCCAGAATATATATATATATATATATATATATATAATATGACAGTGGGCGTTCGCCGATCAGGTTACGGAACATGCTGGTTCCGTTGTGCCTTGGGGCTCATACTAGAACCCTCGCGGGCAGTCGCACAGCGACTAGTAGTAGACATAGATGAGATGGAGCCGACAAAGACAAGGGAGACCGGAATGGCCATTTCTGGCTCATTAGCCGTCATCAGCCAGTCATACCCAACCCCAAGTGTGGATCACTTGAGATTCGAACGCGGGATCTTTGGTCATGGAGTTTGACGCTCTACCATGGAGCAACGGGCCCGTTGTCCTGTCGGTTGTGATCGGGACTTGCGCAGCATCCACCGCCCTCTTCCCACCTTCGCAAACAGGGCTCGGTTTCCAGACAAAGTTAAGATGATCAGAGGCAGAAGATGATCAGAGGCAGTAGTGGACGCAGGTGGCTGGCGCGGTGTAACCCTCGCGTAGGCGTACCACCACACCTCGTGAGCTCTAACAAACACTTGATCAGGATTTTAGACAACAGCAAATAGGTGGAGCGGCAGGAGTGCCAAGTGGCGCGGCGTGAGCCCGCAACTGGACCTGCCACAGCAGTCAGAATCTTTGAATTTCTTATGGGTGGGCGTCCCTGATAGCGCCTGTCAGAATGCGATGTATCTCCCGGTTTGATCCAACTCACTTACTGCTTGTCCCGTTTGAGGGGCATTACACGATATCTCGACCGTCTATTTCGACGATGTCCACCCTGTGCTCCACAGCGGCGTGGGAGCAGCGTGCAAAAATTTAGTTTATAATGATATTAGACTTTCACCGCATCGATTGCACTCTCTCCTCCTCCTCCTCCTCCTCCTCCTCCTCCACCTGGACCCGGTGCCAAGACAGAGACAAGAAGACCGGAGGCGGGGGAGGGCGCAAGTGGATGGCACGATCGAGCCCACAACTTGGCGTTCCACTCCACACCCCCTGGTCCACCCACCAAATAACCAGGTTTTTGATTAACAACAACAACAATGGGGAGGTGGTAGGGTCCCAGTGTGGGCGACTTACGCCGGAAACCGGGTCTGCCACCGCACCCCGAAAATGCTGGCATTTGTTACGGTGCGTAAAGTCGATAACGCCTGCCGGAATCCCATATGACCCCCAAGTTGGTCCAGCGCATCTACCACGTGGCCCGTTTGGGGGACACAGAGACATTACACACAAATACACGCACACACTCACACAAACACAAACCGACGTACTGTTGAAGAAACCAGTGTTAGACCCACATGCTTCTAGTGGACAGGGTATCACTCATAAAATATCCAGAAATAATTGCAAGAAATTATAAACAAGCAGTTTCTAAATACGGAGAAAAACGATGCATATTTGTACAAAATGGAGCCTCCTTACTGCAGTGGTGTTTGTGGACCGCAGATACAGCCGAAAGACGTGAATGACACACTCACCTTGGAGAAAATCCGCCGCAGCCGGGGACTTTTAGTCCCCAAGGCACAACTTCACGAAGGACACTTAATTCCGCAATGTTCAGCAGACCGAGTGTTTTACCGAAAGAAGGAGTTTCGGTTTTGGTTTCCGCATATCTACTGACCACAGGATTTAGCCACCTTATCTACCCAGCGTTCCGGCAGTCAAGGACTAAATATATAGCAAGATGATTACGTCAAACGGAGGGATCACTTATGGGGGGGGGGAGGGAGAAGGCGGAGAGAGATCGCAACACCACACTCAGATCTGATTAGTCGCCCTTCGAATGCCCATTTCGATACTTGATGGAGAATGGAGCGACCGAGCGTCACCGATCTGGATGCATGACGTCTGGAATTTAAAAAGCGTATAGCCGAAGGAGATTTGACAAAAAAACACCATATGTCCACACTCAGAACATCTGTCTGGTTTTTGAAAACGAACAGATAAATGCCGGGAAGGCAAATGTGCAGTCTTTGAGTCAAAATAAACTAAACACAAATACCATGTAGCTCGAGAAACCACATTGGCTATTTTGGCGAAGAAACGGTGAACGGAGACCGCGTCTACTGTCATCAAGACGACCGAGTGACCGTCTCATTCGGTCTCTGGAATTCCGTCAGAAAAAGGGACTGGGCTTTTTTTTAACAAACTGTCGCATTTTCCGATTCCAGAACAGCAGACACAATTAGCATGACGGCCTTCTCGATAAATATAATAGGCGACTTATCTCGAGAAAAGTCGAGTGAGATTCTGGAATGCCATTTTGTCCAAAAAAGAATTCCCGGATAGGGTTGCCATATCGTTTATCATGCTGCGTAATTCAAAGTTTTTTTTAGCTAAGCCAAGATGCCGGCCATTGAAGGAGCGACGCTTCGGCCACCTGCGAAGACCATACTCACAAAATGACTTCTTAAGTAATATGATTTTCAGTGAATATGGATACTCTTATAAATAAAGACATGTTACAGGAAGCCTGCGCAAAACATTCCCCTCTTATACTTATGTTTCAGTAAATACCTTCTTCAAATCTTCTACCCGAAGGAAGGGTAACTTCTAGCCTTGAAACGGCTTTTAAATTCTCAAATGATTTTGCACTTTTTACTGTTTCATCTGAGTTTAGGGCTTCCAAACTACACGCGGTATATCTTCCATTTGAAGCAAATCCTGCATTCCTGTGTTTTCTTAGAAAGGTGTCGCATAGGGCTCAAAAAATTTTCCAGTGAATATGGGCCGTGACGTATACTTCATAAGGCGTACTAATATATGATCAGCCACGATGCCATTTGAATACAGATTTCATAGTCTTAAAAACCCCATAAGCGAAAACTTGGTAGCAACGGAAGATGCCTTGTTTCGATAAAAAACGCAAAAAAGACGTAACTTACCGAAAACTGGGCACAAGAAGGGATATTATTGAGCATGCTTTTTACAGCATACATATGTTTAACGTTGTGAGACATGCAAAATTGATCAAAACAACGCACACAACTCAATTAACCGCCTTATCTCGAGTGGGATTTTCGCAGAGAGCTAAAAAGACGCGCATTGGGGAGTCAGCATGTTGCAGTCACTGAAATACAGTAGCTGACATATCTCAGGGAATAATAACTGAAATTCTGAAATGTGTTTGCCACTGCAAAGGATTGCTTAGGTGGGGTTGAAACATTATCCTACGGAATCATCCTAAGAAATTTTAGTCCCGTCAAGATGACGGCTTTTGAATGAGATTCTTCCCGGCTGTCTGGAAAAAACCAAATTCAGTAAAAGTGAATACTGAAGTCGTGTGCATTTTCCCATTCATTTTCGTTGCCCATATAAACTGAACCACATTTTAATGCAAAATATTCTTCAACTTATTAATTTTATGTAAAATTACGTCTTTTTCAAATTTTATACGCGAGGAGAGGAAACCTCTCGGTTTTTAAAAGCCTTTAGTTATGAGGTTTTTTAATGTGGAATTTTTATGCAAATGGCATCATATCTGCTTTTGATACGAAAACATGGTCTGTACCAACTTCGTGGAGAAAAATACAGGGGGTTTTCCTTTCGCAGAGTTTTGAGACGGTACACGCGAACGTAACTGCAGATCCAAAATTAAAAAAAGTTTTTAAAATCAAAAATATGCTTTTTTGGTTAAAAACAGACTTCAGAATTTGGTTTAACACCTCATGAGATAGGAGAGCTACCGTATTTCAGTGACACCAAGATGTCGGCCTTCCAATGCGAGACCTTGTGGCTGCCTGAAAAAATCACCCTTGACACAAAGACGCTACTTAAATAGTCTGAGGCGTTCCAACTGACTTGCCATGCCCCACAAAGCTAAACATATTTTGTAGAAAGCGTGCACAATAGTGTCCTTTCTTGTATCCGTTCAGTCGAGAACACTCCAGAATCTCAGTTAACCTGACATGCGATAGACCAGGTACCGCATACAACCCAAATTCTGAAATTTGTCTTCGACCAAGAAGAATTACTTAGATGGGGTTGAAACACTGATTGTCTTGGAGCACATTCGCACGACATATCGGGCACAGTAGGATGTCGGATTTTAAATTTACCCCATTTTCGGCCAATTGAAAAACTGCATTCAGTAAAAAATCCCCACTTAGGTAGTGTAAATTTTTCCCATTGGTTTTCTCTGCCCCAACAAATACAAGCATGTTTAATACAAAACCCTAATAAAATTTCTCAGTGGATGTGGACTATACTGTATACTTAATGAGGGGCACTAACAAACGGACAGATGCGATGGTGTTTGAAGGGACATTGCACAGCCTTAAACAAGCCCATAATCATAAACGTCTTGGAAAACTAAACACACTTCTTCTTTGAGCCACTTTTACGAAATATACATTATGCCAGCGGTTGATAAGAAGCACATCCGAAGGCCGGCATTTAGGCATGACTGGATGATCTTAACATTACACTGCCAGATAACTAGCACAAAAGCCCTACAAAAGTAACCTTTTGAAATTGAAAATACACTTCAGGATTTCATGAGACGGCACATCTACTGGAAGTAATTTCTCCTGATCGAAAGCGAATTTCAGAATTTGGCATGGGATCTCACGGGATCGGTCACTGTAACTTAGCGCTTTATGAGGTAAGTCAGTTACTGTACGTGAAGACAGCAGGAGAACTGCAGCCTGGTTAGGACGAACCGACCGAATTCCCTCATCAGAAGGCTTTCCACCTTCCAAGACTGTCCGAAATCTCCAAATGAAGTCTGGAGCGCTGTCTGGCATCTAGTACAGGCCCCAAATATGAACGCACTCAGTCGTCTCAGGCCTGCGTGT